AAAGATTCTAGACAAACTTGTGCCTGACAACTCTGGGATAACTCTTCTAGCCTTAATACATATCATTAAAGCCATGTCTACACACTCTGTGTGCCACACCTGGGAATGCAGATGGAAGACATTCACTCCAACACAATGTGCATCAAATCTGAGCAATTAAGCAGTGTGGCCAACTTAGAGAAGCCATGGATGCATGACCTAATGCTGCTCTTAGGCATTGTCTCCAATGTGTTTCTTTGCATGTACTTAGGCCACTCCAAGGTGGTTGTCTCACCTCATTTCCAAGATTGGGTTGATACTTGGTGGGAGTTGGTAGGCGAAGCATATTTTTCTGTAGCAGGTCTAGGTTCAGGAGAGGCAATGCAAACATGACAATTCCAAAAGGAATTCCTCCTGTTTTCTGAGGTAGAACCACAGAGCCTTGTGCCACCCTCAGGGGATAACAAATGTCTGACTACAGGAGGATAACATGCAAAAATATAAAAGCCATAAAATACTTTCTCCTCAACATATGGTTCTATACTTTAAAAATGGATACATTTTTGGAAATAAATGTACGGACAAGTTAAGGTTTATAGGTACTTCACTCATAATTTTTCTAAGTTCAACACTCATTTTTAAGTAAAATATAAAAAAATACTCTCTACCCCCTCCTCTGCTCCCACAATATATAATACCCATCAAATAAAAATAAAAACTAATTATGGGTAATAATAAGCATAGTGCTTGCTTCTGTGACAGTTACTCACAGAAGTAATCCTCACATTAGTAGTCCCACTGAAATCTAAGTTTATAGGGTCAGACCAGAGCAGGTGACATGTATTTAGGAAATAACAATCTTAGTTATGCTTCTTTCAGAAACAGTGGTGCTTTCAGCAACCATTCACACTTTGTCATAAACTGATTTCAATAACATTTTGACCTTGATCATTAGAAAAACCAAATAGATACATTTTCCAGGAGTAGTTGCCTAATACAAATCGTACATAAAGAGGCCTGTAATCTATATATACACAAATTAATTCTCTATGTATGTATATTCCAATAGTTCATTTAACATTTTGCATAATTACAATAGGTAGCATGGCCATAGCATTGAAATATATTATTAATGCTGATAATGAGAGATAAATAAGATCTATATGTTTAAAAGATTATATAAAATACATGTATATATATTCTCAAGAAAAGTATTAGGTGTCTTAAGGCACAATATTAAAGCCTATTTTAGGAAATAAGTAGCTATTTCCCTATTTACAATGCATAAAAGAGTATCTTCAAAGTAGTTTCCCATATTTATGCACAAAAAGGGAATACTATTTTCAGCCAAATTAGTGTATAAGGAAAAGCATAACTTTTTTTGATTTAGCTCAGTGGCTAATAAATATGTAAGTATTCAGGTCAGAAATAGAGAGCTGTCAGAAGTGAAGATGATTGAGTTTATTACTATGCTTATATATAAATTGATGGGGCAGCTGATTAAAAAAGTTATTTTTGTCATATTTTTAGTTTTTAATGTACATTCAGTGTTAGCATCTCATTTGAAGCCTTGGCTAAGAAAAGGCAATATATGTTTGATATTAAAATCAGTAAACAAAGGATTGCATTATTTAGTGTTGTTATTTCATTTTTACTATATAAATTTAGGCAAACGTGAATAAGATGACATGAAATTCAATTACTGTTATCTTAAGGGATTCATGAGAGTTACTATGAATGACCATAAAGCTGGTGGCTCAGAGTAGGCTATTTTTTTGTCTATGCTCCCAAGAAATCACAAAAAGCTGGTTTTGGTTTTAGTGAATTTTGTTCCTGGATAGCCATCTTGCTTTAGAAGGACATTCTATAGATATGCACATTTAAAATAAGGAGATATGATTCACTTTTTTTCTGTATTTGCTCCTTTGTCTCCAAAGTAGAAAATTGTCTATTACTTGTGCTGCAAGCCTCCTGAATTTCTCAATCATGATGATATAAACATATATTTGTAAAAATATATGCTTACTTTTATGTAAGTAAAATGCTGAAATACCATGAATTAAACTTTCCACTGATTAGGCTGCACAGCAATAACTTACTTTTAAAATTCATTTTGAGGCTTTATTAATAGTTCTCCTCTCATGTTCATCTTTCTAGACTTGTAGATTACCTAGCCAGAATGATTACTCCCCGGAGACATGTACTTATGTCTGCAGAATACAAGAGAAAAGCCCTGCCCATCTCTCTGGCCTACAAACTGGTAAAAACAAAACAAAACATATTATCCTATAGTTTTTACTTGACTTGCCTTCCCCCCCTATATTTTTTCTGTATTTAACTGGAGTGTCAAAGATATGGCTTGCAGGCTAGATGCAGCCAGTGGAGCTGTTTCATGTGGTATGTAGGACTAGGAATATAGGCCTGGGGCAAGCCAGAGCGGGGCCTACCACCAGATTCCTGGATACAGAGCCCCACTGGAGTCATTTATTGGCAGCAGAGGATGACATAAGGGCTAGGGTTAGACATTTAAAAAGCCTGAGCCTGAATTGATTCAATCTTTGCAGGTTAGTATAACCTGTCTAGATTGAATCAGTTTGCAACTGTACAGACATTCCCTCTGGACTGAAGAAATGCAGGCACATGCCTGCAGTGGCTCAGGCTAGAAGCTGGGGGACACTAGAACAGCTCTCCCTTCCCTTCGACAGTGCTGAGCTGGGGTGGGGGGGATAGGGGTGGATGGCTGGGCCCTAGCAGGACCTCTGATTAGGGAGGGGTTTAAACCCCCGCTCTGCCTGCACAGTCCCAGGCTTTTCGGCACTCGCTGCTCAAGGGGTGGGAGGGTTGCCAAACTCCAGCCCATGGCTAGCACTCTGAGGCAAAGGGGTGTGTGTGCCATGCATGCATCTGTTGACAGTACTGAGCTTTTCAATCTTGCTCTCCTTGCTTCTTCATACTGTCTGCAAACCTGACAGGCAGGCAAGGGAGCCACAGCATTTATCAGCCCATCAACAAAACAAAAGCCTCTCTCATTAGTTTAAGCTCTTAAACAACTCTTCCCAAGTAAGTAACATTACAGGCTGACCTGTTGATTAGCTCCAAAAAGCCCTAAGTGGACACTGTTCCATCTGCCTGTCCCAGTGAAATTGGACACACACACACACCTCTCAGCATTAGCTAGCATACCACATACCTAGGGTACATGGGGCTGGGGTCCATGCTGTAGGAGGTGGGAAGGAGGGAGGTGGGGATCCCTGCTTCAGCAGTGAGCAGGGGTGGGGGCAAGGGGGAAGCCAGGTAGACCCTGCTGTACTTGCAGTTTCTCCCAGAGCTCTGGGTAGGGGGCAGAAGGGCAGGGCCAGCCCTGTTCTCTGGAGCAGAGAGCATAGGCCCACAGAGCCCAGGGTTGCAAAGCATCTGGGATGCTGTGGGACTCTGGTTTAACTTAGACCAGAAAGGGGTTTAGGACAGACCTTGCATAAGCTGGTTTGATCCAGATCAGCTAAATCTGATATTACATTCAACCAGGTTTATTTTAAACTAGTTTTAGCCATTTTGAAACTGGTTTATGTGCACTGAATTTATGTTCTATTACAGGTGTAAACCAGTTTCTGATCACTTTTATGTGTAATGTCTGTCCTTAGTCAATGAACTCTGGGGTCTGGATCCAGCCCAGGGGAGCCAGTGAAGGTTGACATCCCTGATTTAGACTATTTATTATTTTTTAGTGAAAGTTGACAGAGCAATGTGGATTTTAGATGTTCATTTTACTTTTCTTTAAATTTACCAGGTGATATTCTTGCCAATATCAATGGAGTGAACACTGAGGGTTATAATCACAAGCAAATAGTGGACTTGATAAAATCTTCAGGCAATTATTTAAGGTAGACTGTGATCTTCAGATATTTTTTTGTGTAATTCCCTATAATACTATGAGTCCAAAAGGAAATATTTTCTTGTTACCCTGTGCTTTCTTTCCTACTTCATTTGCTAAGAAAAAAGTACTATTTCTTGAAGAAGGCAGAAGGCAGCTAACCAAATTAAAATTGTTCTTGCAAGCATTATTGAGCATGAGGCAGGCAGGTTTTTATGCTGGATCAGCACAATACTGTTTGCTGAAGCTATTTCTAGAATGATGATACATTGGGAGATGTATGTAACATTCCCAGACTGTTATAAGACTTCCTCAGTCTAAAGATCACATTGGTTCTGATGACAGCTAAATTGAGAGAGCAAACAAATATCTTATGGATCCCTCTCTCCAATCTTTTCTCCAATGCCTCTTGTCTTAGATTATAAAATCTTTCATGTACCAACTATGTCTTCCTGTGAATCTGTAGTTGCATCTAGAATAATGGAGCCTAGCAGGCAATATAAATATTAACTAAACATTATAAAATAACCATAGATGCTTAAATGGCCTTTGTACATTTCACTGTTGAAAACATTTGTTCTTTACAGATTAGAGACTGTTAATGGAGCTATGATTTTTAGGAGAATGGAACTTGACACCAAGCTTCAATCATTGAAGGTAATTACATGAATATGTGTACATATAACGATATTGTTTGTAAAAGATGTCAGACTGACATTCCTAAAGAATGAAGCAACCTGTTTACTTCAGACTGGGAGGGAACAGGCAATGAAAATGCATAATTCTTTGTATTCCCCTACTAAGATGCTGTACCCGTGGTGCTAGTTGTAGTGGCAGTCTTTGTGGAAACTCTGCCCTAGGGTGATTCTTAAATTACTTTGGGCCCTTACATGTTATCAACTGCTTAATTTCATATGCACTTAGATATTTTTCATACCCAGTACATAGACTCAAGGAGTGCTTGCTGAATCAGGCTAGCCCACATGTTGCTGAATAACCACAAATACTGTTTGAGAGGAAAGATATTACAGTGGTGAAGACACTAGAGTGGGACTTGAGAATATGCTCTGACACTGTTTAGATTACTTACACTGTGCTGTGTAACCTTGGGTCAGATTCAACAAATGACTTGGGTGCTATGCCCCTTAACTTTTGGGTGCCTGGACCCCAAAGTGGAATCCAGAACTCAGATTTAGGCTGCTAGGGCTCCCTATTCAATGGATGAAAAGACTTAGGTGTCTTAGAAAGGTGAGCCTAAACACCCACATACTGAACACAGGAATGTCAGGATTCTCATTCCTTGTCTGGAGTTTAGGTGCCTGAGTTATGGTCACAGGAAGGTGTCTCCATCCATTTGAGACCCAGATCCTCTCCTGAGGGGAAGCGCTTACAGAGCTGAGCAGGAATAACTGTTTTATCTTTAAAATAAAGGCATTGTGTAGTAGTGCTTAACTTTTACATAATAGCCTAAAATGTGCTTAGGAAGTAGGATTGATTCCTGCATTCTAAGCTTTCCTCAACCTGAGGGGATTCAAATGCAAGTCTTTCACCTCCAAGCAGTGTGCCATAGCCACCAGACTGTAGGCTAGGCTGGGTAGTAGAGGTACTCTTCACCCTTTTTGTGGCAACTGCTGTTACTATACAAAAACAAATCCCATCCAATGTAACATCTCCAGCCCTGAACAATCTCAGGAAGTGGGAGAAGAAAAGCAAAACCAGATACATATGTAGTTGTGCTCTGAGGAAAAAGAAACCTTCCTGAATTCAGAAGACATCCAGCTGAAATGCTGTAGAAGCATGATATTTGATTGTAATCATTGTCTTAATACAGGGCATATTCTATCCAGATACTCATGAAAGAAAGGGAATGTAAAGGGAGACTGACAGACTTTAGATTTCAAGGGCAGAAGGGACCAACATGTCTAGCTAGTCCATTCCCCCAAATTCAGGCTATACAATTTTTCCCAAAGTCAAGTTTAAAGATACCTTTTAAAAAAAATTCCAATGTTGATGAGTCAACCATCTTCTGGAGGGTCTTACAAACTTTAATTATCTTCATGGCGAGGAAACAACAACATCTTTTAAATTTGAAGTTGTATAACTTCAGTTTCTAGCCACTGGATCACATTGTCTTTAAAAGCAAGCTAGAAAAGCCCCTGCTATCATATGTCTTTTCCACTATAGGTAAAGAGGTACAAGAGGTAAAGTCAGCTTTTGTATCTTCTTTTCAATAAGCTGAATTCCTTCAGCCTTGTATCACAAAAAAATCATCTTAATTAGACTCTGGATCATTTTGGGACCCTCCTTTCAACTTTACCTTTATCTACCAGACCTGTAGTCCTGTAAAAAAAGCTGACATTTTGTTTGACAAGACCTACATACTACAAAACCATATTAATTAACATTAATTATATCAATTTATAATTGTGAGGCATTCTGAACATCTACAAGTACTATAAAAGTGCATTAAAGTTAACCCAATATGAGTTAGCGTTACTCTGAGGAGTTAGACTTGGGAGCTCTGAATAGCTGTAACAGTGTTTGCCAACTAACATCTACGCCATTGTTCCTTAAATGAAAGCATTACCATCTTTTCTTTTTTCGTGGGTGTGTACCAACTTTAAATCAGTGTTTGGTAATATTTTATGTTGTTCCTTGCTGAGTACATTTACATGGTTGGTCTTAAATGATGTATGGACATAAAAGCAGTGCTTCCTTTTGGTCTAAAAAGAAGACATGCTGGGAGATCCATAGGGATATGTATATAAATTTGACTACTTCTGGAAAAGTTAAGCTAAAATGCTTGTTAATCTTTTAGAAGTAGGAAAAAATTAGAGTGATATAAATGAAGAAAAAGTGATGAATGGACTTACTGGAATTGCCATGATTATGGTAATCTCAATTCACAGGAAATTCCTATGAAAGGAAAGCAATGTACCAGCTATGACATATGGAGAGGCTTACCTGAGGCTTGATTACACAGTTAATCAAAAATACATACAGGACCAGAATTTGGGGGTCCTTCCTTTCTGACCCATATTTTAATCATAAAGTTAAATTACAGCTATTATGTCATGGACTTAATGATCCAAACCACCCCCACCCCCAAGTCCACTAAAACTTGAACTCACGTGTTTCTTGAGATTTGAAGAGTTTATTTACTTATTATATTTTTATTCAGCAGCCATTGCCATACCACCAGGTTTTTTGTAAAAGCAAGACAAACCATCATTTTCTCAGAGAATGTCTGTTTCCCCCATTTCTTTAAAGTCCTGGTAGAATGACTAGAAAGTTAATAGCACCCGGGGTCCCCCTGTGGCGAATTGCCGCGCCGGGGAGGCACAGTGGGGCCCTCCAGCATGCTCCCCAGCAGAACCAGAAGTGGACTGGAAGGTCCACTTCTGGGTTCACTACCAAGCATGTGGAGGGCACCCCCCACACTCCTGTGGGACACTCCATGTGCCCCAGCATCGCAGTGATCATAAGCCATGCCTGCTACCTCAAGGTATGTAGAAAAAGCATTTAAAGCGGTGTCTGTGTTCAAATCGCTGAATCTCTGAATCAGCATTGACTCTTCAGATCTGGATTTGGCTGAATCGAATCAGGGACAGTGATCCTAATCAACAAATTGAATCGCTGTCCCCAATTCGGGACAAATCTGAATCCAAATCAAATAGGGCCCGTTTTGCACACCCCTATTCCTTAGCTTGCATGCAAGAATGTTGTGGGAGACTGTATCAAAACCCTTGCTAAAATCAAGGTATATCACATCCACTGGTCTCCCCACATCCACAGAGCCAGTCATCTCATCATAGAAGGCAATCAGGTTGTTCAGGCATGACCTGCCCTTGGTGAATTCATGCCGACTGTTCCTAATCGCCGCCTTCTCCTCCAAATGCTTAGAAATGGATTCCTTGAGGATCTGGTCCATGATTTTTCCAGGGACTGAGGTGAGGCTGACTGATCTGTATTTTCCTGGATCCTTCTTTTTCCCTTTCTTAAATATGGGCACTGTTTGTCCTTTTCCAATCATCCAGGACATCTCTTGATTGCCATGAGTTTTCAAAGATGATGGCCAGCAGCTCTGCAGTTGCATCAGCCTCAGAACCCTTGGGTACATCCCATCCAGCCCCATGGACTTGTACATGTCCAGCTTTGCTAAATAATCCCTAAACTGTTCTTTCACCACTGTTGGCTGTTCGCCTCTGCCCAAAACTGTGCTGCCCAGTGCAGTAGTCTGGGAGCTGACCTTGCTTTTGAAGACTGAGGCAAAAAAGGCACTGAGCACTTCAGACTTTTCTGCTTCTTTTTTTTCCCTCTGGGTCCTAGAGTTTAGGACAAGAAGGATCCATTAATTTTATTAATTTATAATAATCCATTTAAATAAATATTTAATTAATTAATCCACCATTAATTTTATGTATGTGGCCCTCAACAGCTCACCAAAATGCATTAAGTGGTCCATCAGCCCAAATAGTTGCCCACCCCGAGCTAGACGACTTCATGGTTTGTCACTGCACTAGTAGCTCCTTTGTTAGAGTGTACTTTCATGTCCTGTCTCTTTTGCCTAAAGAACCTGCTACATCTGTGAACATGTAGCTCAAAAACAGAACAATTCTTAAAGTCTGAATATGCTTATTCTATGTGTAATTTAATTATACTTTGTTTTCACACTTTCATATTACATATTTCTGTAAAATGTCAAGTGAAGAAGTAAGTTTGGGTGTTGATATCTCACATAGAGAATGAGGTTTTTACTAATAGAACCACACTAACATTTTGTCATATACTGACAATTCTGTGGGGTAGTGGTTTTGCACTTATAGTTAACTAAAGTTACCAAAAATAAAGTACCTCTTGAAAGTAGGGTAGCATGGATGCATTGTGCAACAAGTTGATCAAAATTTCTGTTAATAATGATCCAGCTTGAAGATGTTGAGCTCACCAAAACAGGTGCTTACAGTTGATTTCCCATACTCCTTTGTGATGCCCTGGTCATGGAGTCATTTCAACAGTATGTTCAAATTGCTACCTTCTAATAGCACCATGATAAGGCACTGTGATAATGTCTGCAATGAAGTAAGCACTAAAATCAACAAGAGAGACAGCTTTTTATTAATTCTGAACTACAACAGAAAATGTGGAATGAGCCTAGAGTTTACATCTAGAGGGGAAAAGGAAAGTTGCAAGTTTCATATTTTACAAATGCATTTTTCAGATAGCAGAGATCAGCTGCTAAAAGCCAGAAGGATGAGTATTTTAAATCCATAATGGAAAGTAAACACACTCCAACTAATTCTTCTAAAATCAAACTGACCTTCAACATGCCAGGAAGCACAACAACTTTATTATGTTTTCATCTGGCCCGGATATATTCCAAAGCTTTTATTTCAAAGCAAAAGATCAATCATTGGGCAATTTATTCAAGCCTGTATGACTAACAGTCTGTAGCAGTATTAGTGATTGCCAACATAATGATCAACTCCTGTGTTCTCATGAATTGCAGCAATGAAAGGTTTGGTTCTGAGACACAGCTTATTCCTAGCTCTTTCTTAACTAGATGGTAGCAGCTGCTTGCCTGCTTATCTGTCTTAATCAAATTGTTGTTACAAATCCAATACCAAAGTAACCTGAACTTCATAGTCACATGGTGTCCCCATGTAGGATCAGCAAAGAGTCTGGACAGATGTAGTTTCCTGCTCCTTCTACCTTATTACATTTCCTAAAGTCATGAAACAGGACAGAACATTATACATTGCACAGAAGCAATACTGTGCCCCAGCCCTGGCTCCTCCCACTCCGTACCGCTAGCAGGGCGGAGAGCACCAGGAGGCCAGCCATAGGCCAGACAGAGTCAATTGGCAGGCCGGATAGGACCTGTGGGCCCTATTTTGCCCACCCCTGGTCCAGCTGGCTGCTTCTTCACAGCAGGGGCAATGCATTCCACACATTGTTTATTTGAGAATCTAGGTGCTTCCAAATTTGTAGTTGCTAAATAATAATGAGAAGATACTTTGATTTGATACTGATGAGAATAAGGAAATTATGGGCTATTATGAATAACCACAAAAAGATGCTTTTTCTACTCCCATGGAAATCCATTCAGATTTGACATACCAGCAATTCCAAGCCTGTGAAAATCACCACTCGCAGTTATTCCATGAAGCTTGTTACAGGTGTGGTGTTCACTATCCCTCAGTATTCAATCCATGCTGAGCAGGCTTCAGCCTCACAATCTTCTACGTGACACAATTTGTAAATGCGGGTCAAATCCACAGACAATATTTTTCTAGAAATTTTGGAAGTCTGAACTATTTCATTGGGATATTTTTGAAATGTAAAAGGCAGTTCCTTAAAAAAAACATTTTTTGTTTACAGTTTTTCTTTCAATGCTAAAACCGAAACACTTTCATTGTAGGACAAACCAAAAATACTGCTACTGACAACTGAAATACGGGACTGGTGGATTCAGTTCCAATCTCTGCTAGAGATGTCAACAGAATGAATTAAGACTGTCCATGAGACTTTGACTTGGGCATTTTCTAACCTCTTTAGTACTTTACTTTGGAACCTTGACAGTGTTTTAATGTAGTTTTTGTGTATAATACCAAAACAGTCTTTTAAAGACTAAGAAACATTTTGTTTAATTAAATCTATTTTATTTTCAACATGGAAATCTATTTTCTCTTTAATATCAGGTATATATTTCCTACCTTGTTGATGTAAATCTGTTTATGTCTTTTCTAAACCTCAGCTTGTACAGAGTGTTTATAACAAAACAAATTAATAGTGCTTAAGAGCGTAGGAAGCAGCCTACAAACACAAGATATTCATTTTACATTGAATAAGGTTCATTTAAAAAAAATGCATGCACACTATGCCTGTGGTGCTAGCAAAAACTAGCATTTGTATGTACCATTGAATATTTGCAACCTCAAATCAGGGAAACTTTATATATCATTGTGGATTGACATGTGGAAATTGCCTTAAAACAAACCATTATCAAGTTTCTTTTCGAAGTAATACATGTAATTGTACATCTATGCTGTGCCTAAATAGACACACAGCAGAGAGGAAGTGATTAAAAATATTGAGCAACATCAGTATGGTATATACATTTATAGACAGGGGACAGAACAGCATGTCCTGTTGCTGACCATGACATCAGCACGTTGTTCTTATCAAAGTAAGGACCAGAAGCATGTGTAAGCTCATTTACAAATGCTCAGGATTTACAATGGGAGACAGATTTCCAAAAGAGATGAGCTCTGTCTGAGACTTCTAACAATGGGCCATATTTTCAGAAGTGCTCATGTCTTTTTTGGTGACTATATGCTCTTTTCAAAATCCAAAGACCATGACATAGATATCAGAAGGGCATGACTGGCAGCTTTAATGAAAGAAGCCAGTATTGAGAATTCTGGAAATCCTGGTAGGAAATACCTGGAGAAACTGTCTCTTCTTCTCCCTTTTGGTAAATAAATTTCACTGGGTACATCTGCACAAGATGCTACTGTGGAGTGGTTACTGCGCATTTATTTAGTATTTGTATAAACAAGTACTAAATAAATGTGCAGTAAACCAGAGTTACTATGCAGTAGCATCAGCGAACATCTTTTAAATGCTGCTGCTATGCAGTAACCTAATAATACTGTGCAGTAGCATATTAACACTGTCCACTGTGTGACATGCTACTGCGCAGTATTATATGGCTACTGCGCAGTAAGCATCTCATGTAGACATGCCCACTAGATACTAAACTAACTGTGTACTAACCAGAAAAATTATAGCTTTTGGTTCCGACGCTTTTATTATGTAATATTCAAATATTGATGATGCTCATTAGTAATTATGGTACTGTGGTACAGTATAGTATCATGCCTTTAAAATGTAGAATTATCTTTTTGTTAGAAGTGAGTCTGGCTTCCTGTCATCATATCAGTGGATACTGGAGCCCCCCCTCATACTCATATTAACATATGTTAAGTGCACAAGCAAAATTCATACAAAAACACTGATGGAAATTAACAGAATAATGTATTTCTGGGATAAATTTGCTGACTTCTTTGAAGGTTCTGTTAATACTATCAGCAAAAAGGGCATAGATATCATTGAAAGTACCTGCTTTCCAGAGTTAACTACAAATTTTTTTGAGTACACCATTTTCTCTGAAAAACTTTACATTCAAAGAAAGTTTGTGAATGATAAAAAGCCCTATTTACCCTCCACAGCAAACCTTGCGGGAAAAACTGGTGGAGTTCCGGTCTCTGCAGTTACAGGAACAACGCCTACTGCATGGTAAGTCTTAACTTCCTGTTAGGAAACCACACTATGTTTTATGACTGTCACAGCTTCTGAAGAAATTTGAAATGCTCAGTCAAAAGTAAGACTTTATTTGACTGTCGGTCTCATTTGCTGCTTTTTATCCTGTTAGTGAGTGTGGTGGCCAAGCAACTGGGAACCCTGTATCAAGGAATAAAAATGTGAATGCCTGACTTATTGATTGGCACAGGAAGAAGGTTATTTGTATACATTCTACTAAACAGAAGTTGGTGTTGATTACATAATTTTCTCACACCCTCCTACTTTGCAATGTTACCTCCCCATGAACTTAGAGAACAATCTGCATTCTGTATCTAGGAGGAAACTAGAGTTCTACAACCTTTCATAATTGGTAAATACATCTTCCACTAAAACATTTGTTATTAGTCACTGCCTGAGACAGGACACTGGATTGGATAGACCAATATTCTAATCTGACATAATAAATGCTTATAGCACTCTTCCTCATTTCCTGGTTGGAATAAAGACCATGCCATGACATCAAGGGAGAAAAGAGGAAGGCTGAGAAAGTCTAGAGAAGATTAAATGAAATTGATGAGATGTCCATCAAACATGCAGGTGTGAATTACCAGGTTTATCTCTCTCCAATGACAGTTCAGGAAGATCAGACTGCTGGGTTGTAGATTGTCTTTGATTACACACGTTTTCCATTCTCTAGCTTTTTTGAAATTCTCCTTGTATAATGTTTCTTCTTTAATACCTATTTTCTAGGAGAGGTGAATGACAACACTTTGTTTGATCCCATGGAAACAGAAGAATTTAATTTATTTGGGAGCTGCACTGCACCCAGACCTACATTCCCAATGAAGCCCCGCTTCTCCAGTGAAAGCAGCTCGAAAAGCAGATTGAGTTCAATGACAGTGGACAGTGAGGATGGCTTCTACCAGACCTGTATTTCTGAGGATTCTGCTAATGAGACTCTGAGCCGACAGTCAAGCATAGATGATGATTGCTTCTTCCAAAGGGACAATGACACTGTTGTGGGGAGATCTTCGCTGAGAAGGAACAGAAGCATCAGTGTTGCCAGCAATGGGTCAATGTCACCTCAGTGGGAGGGAGGGAGCTTCCCAAATATTTTTGGCACACTCCCACGGAAAAGCAGGAAAGGAAGTATCCGAAAGCATATTTTAAAATTTATTCCTGGCCTTCACCGAGCAGTGGAGGAGGAAGAAAGTCGTGTCTGACATTTTATGTAACTTCGTCTGTGTACAGGACTGTGCTAGTATGTATAGACAGGAAATGCAGCAGTAAAGCAATATGGTATCTAGGACACAGACTGTAGAGTCTCATATGAAAGATGGAAAGGAACATTTCTAACAAAGATACTGCATTGTTTTCCCTAATAGGATTTCAGGACAGGACTGACATTATTTAAAATTCTAGAGTACTTTTCATTATTCCAGAACACAGCACAATGTGGGGCCTAGTTTAGTTATAATGGAACAGGTTTCCAGTGACTAACTTTGATATTTGAAAACATTTGTAGAGCTTTCTCAGCAAGCTTTGTGATACCCACCTTTTCTATTGTATGCAAACTATTTATTTCCTGTTATCAAATCAAGAGTTATTCTTCATGTGTCTTTATTATAGGGCCCAACCCTCATAAAATTTTTGACAAAATCCTCATTGTGAGCAGGATGAGACCAGAATATATAAACGAGCACAAGAACAAAGCTGTGAAGTACAGTACTTGTAAAACTGAAGGATATACTTGTAAGTTGCACAGTACCTGCCCTACTACATCCAGTTTTGGGCCGCACACTTCAAGAACCATGTGCACAGTTTGAAAAGAATCCAATGGAGAGCAAAAGAAATGATTAGGGGGGTGGTAAGCAAGACTCATAAGGAAAGGTTGAAAGAACCAGGGTTGTTAGCCTGGAGAAGAGAAGACTGAGGGGGGGTTTGGTTCAAAGACTCAAGGGGTGATTATAGAGAGGATGGAGATGGGCTTTTTTTCTGTGGCAGGAGTGGACAGGATGAAGAGCAGCAGCCTCAAACTACACGAGGGGAAACTTAGATTGAAAATTAGGCAGACTTTTCTAACTATGAAGATGGTCAAGCACTGGAACAGGCTAACTAGAAAAATCATGAAATGTCTATCCTTGGAAGTTTTCAGGAGCAGGTTAAACAAACACTTGGCTCGGATGGTATAGTTAAGGATGATTCTGCCTGTAGTGTGAGGCTGTAGATGTGAGGTTCCTTCTAGCCCTAATTTCCTATGATACTAAATTAGTTAACTTTTTATTTTGCCCATGCCATGGTTCAAACTAACATACACTTGGATTTTTATTTTAATGCAAATGCCTTTCCAGTCACTGAATTAGAGATCAGGATTCTCTGATCAAGCTTTCACCAAAAGGACAGTAGTCTCATTCTGCTGTGAGTACTACACCCCGCCCCCCCCTTGATCTTTTCATGCAATAGGTATAATGACCCATAGTATAACCTGTGCCACACATTTCTCAGATCTGATCCTACTAGTTAAAATCACTGCAGATAGCTAACACCATATGTCATGGTAAGACTTTACTATCTCAGGGAATTTGAAATATAAAGGTCACTTATATAATATAGACATCACCTTTATAATCTCTCTCATAACAGCCCCAAAGCTTTTTCACTATACCAGTTCATTAAGTCCATCGTTTGCTTTTATACAAGCCTGGTTACAATGGCCAGGATTGATGTATTGAAATATTACATATTTCATGCCTCTGCATAACAGGGATAAACAGGGCTATTAAATATAAAGGAACATAAGCCAAAATATTGATTTTTTTTTTTAAAGTGTCTGCTGGTAGAGAAAAACATAAAGCATTGTTGGGTAAAATAAATAACAAGAAGGAACTTGGACATACAAAAGAACTAGAGTCTTTGGACTTAAAACAAATACTTCTCATAAGGATGTAAAAATCTTGGGGATTTCTGATGATGAAAAGTATGCTGAAGTATGTTGTTTAAACTGCTGTAAAGCTGCAGGTGTAGTATACAGATAGAGGAAGTGGCTTTCTTTTGCAGCCAGCATCAGCCTGATGATAACCTTATTGTTAATATTGGCCTTGCATTAGCAGCAGCAATGAAAGGAACACAGTTGAAATGGAGAACACGAAAACATGCTAGATGGATGTGTACAAAGAATTAATTTGACAACAGAGGGTTGGGAATAGATTTAAGTAGTTTGGAATGAAAAGACAATGAAGACATCTTCTAGGGATAAATACTTGAAAATAGAGGGGGAAAGGAAAAATAAAAAGGCAGTACAGGGACTTTGAAAATTAATGGTATAGTCTTTTGGCTGTTGTACATTCTTTGCTTCAAGGCCTGCTATGACAGCTCAGGCTAGGCCCCTTATCCCTGCTCTACAGTGACATGTCTCTAAGTCCCATCACTTGTTTCTGCAATTCTAATCAGGTTTATTGAAAACATATTTTTCTGTGCATATATCAAGCTCACTACCAGGTAATTTAAAGGTTATGCATCTCTACTGTCTCCAGTTGAGATTATTGCAGTCAAAGAAGCTTATCAGAATTTCAGCAGACTTGAAAAAATATCGATCCGGCAACGTTGACTTAAATGTGTACTTCAATAAATTCTGCCTCTTCAAGGTCACAGAAATAACAAACTCCCTCCTACGCCATTCTCAGAGGATGTTTTTCACTTTCTAACAGGATCTATTTTGTTTCTGAATGAAATGCAGGTTCCAGTCCCATCTTAGAAAACTCCTAAAAAAAATGTCACTGAAGCACACCTGCTTGGGTTTCAAAACTCATAAACAAGCCTGCAGTAACAAAGATTTTATGGACCTCCTTTTAGAGTATTTAGTAGACCATTATTGAAACAAAAGTTCAATTATTACCTTGGTTCCTTTCAGATGAAAGATTTCTATAGTACAGATTGTGAAGCTAGAAAGGAGTGTTTACCAAAGACTATCTGAAACTATTTAATAAGTGAAGCTCTAAGTGAGAAGGAAAGAGACAATTTTATATTGCCTGATAAGTGCACAAATAAGTCATGGTTTATAGCAAGCACAAGTCAAGTCATAGAAACTGTGGCAAACCTTTTCAAAACAGAAGATAGACGGACAAAGTTCTAATTAGCTGCAAGAATCGTCTCTACTTTATGTGAGGCACTTGCTTTTAATTGACAAGAAAGAATTCTAAGAGGTGATATATACTTAAGACAGTCTTATTTAAAATTAACATCTTTAAAAACCTCAAAGTCAAACAAATAACTTCTTCAACAACAGACATATAAACAAGTAAAAAAATACAGACTATTTTTGCCTAATATTCTTCCAGCTGATACAATTTCAAATGCAAAACTTCCAAGGAGATTTAATCATATATTTTTGGTAGGTAACAGGAGCTACAAACCAACATTTCAAATGACTTTTATGCTAAGTACAGACAGTCAAAAAGCCTGAGGCTGAATCAATTCAGCTTTTGCAGGTTAGTCTAAACTGAGTAGATTGAATCGAAAAGCAAGTTAACAGACATTCTGGAAATGCAGCCACATGCCTGCAGTGGCTCAGGCTAGAAGCTGGGGGGCACTCGAGCAAACCTTCCCTTCCCTTTGGCAATGACTGGATGGCTGGAGGGAAGCTGGGAGAAGCTCTCTAGGCTTTTCCCGTTCCCTGTATGAGGAGAGGGTGGGGAGTGGGGGGCATGGCCAGGTCTTGGCAGGTCTGCTTAATATGCCTCAGGATGTCCCCGGAGGAGAAGGGAAGAAGCAGCCCCTGCCAGGCTTTTCCCTTGCTCCCCAATGAAGCCAGGGGGGAGAGGGAGGGGATACGTCTAGACCCCAGCCCAAGCCAGCATGCTGAGACAGAGGGGAAGAAAGTGGGGTTTAAGCCCCCTCACCCACATGGGGCCCCAGCAGGGGTCTGCTTGGCAGGGGCACAGCTGCCCCTGCCAGGCTTTTTCCTGCTCTCCACTGAAGTGGAGAAGGCAGGGGCATGGCCAGACACTGGCCCCGGGCTGGCACATTGAGGCAAAAGGGAAGGAGAGAGAGGTGGGGGGCACACCCCTGCTTCCTCCGCTTGAGTAAGGAGCAGGGAAAAGCCTGATAGGGGCTGCTGCGCCCTGCCATGCAGACCCTGCTGGGGTCCTTGGTGAGGGGTGTTGGTTTAAAGCCATCTCTCCCGCTCTGCTTCATCCTGCCCGCCTGGCCCCAGAGTCTGGCCACCCCCATTCCTCTGTTCCAGTGGTGAGTTGCGGAAAAAGTCTGGTGGAAGCTGCTTCATCCCTGGCAGGTAGGACCCAGCTGTGGTCTGGACTTGGGTTTCCCAACCCCTTCTCAGCCAGCTGGAGCAGTGATAGTGCCCTGGCTAGGGAGCAGAGGGGCAGGGCCAGCCCTGCTCTCTGGAGCAGACAGCACAACCCAACCAAGGGCTGCAAAGCATCCTGGGATACTGAGGGACTACGACAGAAGTTCCATAAACCGGTTTGACCTAAATCAATTAAGTCTTATACTACATTCAACCGGGTTTCTCTTAAATCAGTTTCAGCCATTTTGAAAGTGGCTTACCTGCATTGAACTTCTGTTCTGTTACAGGTTTAAACCAGTTTTTGACCACTTAAACCAGTTTATGTTTAACTTCTGACCCTAGCCTTATAGTCCCCTCCCCAAAAAGATTAAAAGGATTTGGTTGGCAATTCTCCATAGCAACTTGGTGGGGGTGGGGAGGGAGGGGAAATGCCACTTAAATACAAGAGAAGTTTTATTGTTCTGGGTTTTAAAATGTACTTTTGCTTGTTGGTTTAATGGTAGCATGTATATGTTAAATGCTAAGATACATCTAAAGCAAAGTCATTGCTTCAAATGCCCTAAATTCAACTCTCATATTGTTCAGAATCCAAACTTGGATCCAGATCTTACTTTTTTTGGCAGGCTAAATTAAACCCCTGGATCCAAATAACTCCTCACTTCTGGAGAAGTTTGAAATTTTGATCTAGACACAACCTAGTTTTTTCATGCTGGAGTCTTTTTTTTTTTATGAGTCAACTGTTTGCTTATGATTTAGTATGTTAAGATACAGAGTATAGTTTAAAAAAATGTTCCTTTCTACTTTTTGTGCGCAGTTATTGTCACTGGTAGGCTTTTGGGAATAATCAGGTATGTAAGTGTCCGAGGGGAAGTAACTCCAGACTCGCTGATCAGTTTGCTTGGTGGAGGCTGGTTTAAAAGGCAACCTCAGAATGCTACGCAGAGAACATATGGAGCCTTATGTTTCAACCTAATAGGCAAATTCGGAGGTTCAATATGGCAAAATGCAAATAATTATGTCCACACATATGCAACAATGTGCACAATGTAGGATCTACCAACCTATAAACCCAAATTAACAGTAAAATACGCAGGCAATGTAACTTTTGTATTAAAATTGCACCTACAGAGTTAGAGACCACCTCTGATAAACAAGCTTTTTAAGTATAGGATGTTCCCCTGAGAAGTGAATGTGCTGAGTGGAACTCCATAATTTTTAAAATTTTGTTTTTATTATGCTTCCCATCCATATGAGGTGAAATCTCAGCCCTGTTGAAGTGCATTGATTTCAACTTGAGCTGGTTTTCACCAATAACATTTCGAGCAACTTAGCAAAATGTGATAGGTATTCCATAGATGTGTAAAATGTTGCTTGAGATGGAATATATGATTTTATAATATGGGATTAGGGAAAAAATACAATAGTGGTGCAAAAATTGAGCCCCCAGTTTGTGATGTTGGCCAACATATGACTGGCACAAGTAAAATATGCACATTTACAACTTGGGCATTTTTATACATGCTTTAATTAGGGTGGATCCAAGAGCTACTCTAATTAAAGTGCCCAGAGCATCTTGTGTAGTGCCCAGAGCATCGCTGCACTTCAAAATGGCAGCAGGGGCACTTTATCTAAAGCCTGTTGAACGAGCTTTAGATAAAGCACCCACACCACCATTTTGAAGCACAGGTACGCTGATACACAAGACACAGAACCTGGCTGGAGCACGGTAATTACCACACTCCAGCAGACACAATTACTCGAGTCTGCTCCGATGCATTTCAATTACCACACATCGGAACAGCCTCTGGGCTCACGTATAGGCACCCCAGGAGCGTAGTAACCTGATGTGGCTAAATTAGTGCTTCCCAGAGCATAAATTATTATTTTTGGGGCTTGGCAAGCTTCTGTGGTCATTATTTGTATATCAGTCTAATGACTAGATCAATGAAAATGACTGGAGTAAGTGTTTTAAGTATGGGCATGTTAATTTAATTGAACAAAGGGATCCAAATGTTCCTGACCTATGCCTTCTTCATTTTAGCAGTTGTGAGGGATTCTTGCTTGACCTGAGGGTAAATATTTGTACTCTTGTACTGTAAATGGTTATCTTTACTTGTGTTAAGTACCTCAGATGCAAAAAGAATGCAGCCTCAGAGTGGTAAGCTATAGCTCCTGTATTGAAAAACACAGACCCTATAGCAAAGCTGTGGAAATAGATTAAAATAAATAAGTGTTTTACAACTCTCTTATAAAGGCTCATTTTACCTTTGTTACATTTTATTT